AACAATGGCTCTCCAGCTCAAGGTTGGTGCCAGAACTATTGAGACTGTTCCAGCTGTTAAAAACCTAGGGGTATACTTTGACAGTTCTCTGAACATGGAGAAACAAGTGAACGCTATTGCCAAATCCTGTTACTACCAGATCAGGAACATCGGCTGTATTCGGCAGTTTCTAACTGCAGATGCATGCAAGATTTTGGTGCATTCACTTGTTACCTCTCGGTTGGATTATGGTAACGCCCTGCTCTGTGGTATATCTGACAAACTAACTAGTCGTCTGCAGAGGGTTCAGAACACTGCAGCACGGCTAGTTACTCGTACTCGAAAGAGAGAGCACATCACACCTGCGCTTTATTCGTTGCACTGGTTACCTGTACGATACAGGTCGCAGTACAAAATTCTGGTATACACATACAAGGCACTGAATGGAACAGCTCCTCAGTACCTACAGGAACTTGTTACCCTGTATCAGCCGTCAAGATCACTGCGGTCGGAGTCAGAATCTTTGTTGTGTGTCCCAAAATCTCGTACTGTGACCTACGGAAACAGATGCTTTGGGAGGGTTTCGGCTACGTTGTGGAATAGCTTACCATCTGCTATTAGGAAGTCGAATACCCTGGCCAAGTTCAAGAGGGACATAAAAACTCACCTCTTCACGTCTGCATTTTAGAATCTTTGCAAAGACGTCATGTAAATACCACCCTTTTATTTGTTCAATTATGTGCACATTGCTTGTTAAATGTATGAAAGTGATTGCAAGCCTTTGTTGTTTGTTTTCACAATTATAACCATTACTATTATCCATATGTTGTAAAGCGCCTTAGAGTAATTTTACAAATTATATAGGGCGCTATATAAATGCTGTATATTATTATTATTATCTGAATTTTTTGCCAATGATATCGGTTTATTGCAAGGCGAAATTTTGTCGCCGATACTTTTTTCCATGGAGGTTAACGACTTTGAGTCTTTTTATCTCAAAATGTAACCAACGATACGATTTTGAAGAATTAAGCCTATTCCTTATGTTATATGCTGACGATTTAGTCTTGCTTTCGGAAACTGTTGAAGGCTTGCAGGAATTACTGGATAATCTTGCTATTTATTGCGAGCAATGGAAACTAACTGTTAATAGTGAAAAAACGAAACTGGTATTCCGTAAATGCGGGAAAATTCGAAATAATGAAACATGGACTTACCATGGAAAAAAGCTTGATTGTGTTGACCAATTTTCTTACCTCGGTGTAAACTTAAGATACAATAACAAGTTCAATAACATACAGAAACAATTTTCAGATCAAGGACGTAAAGCCATGTTTGCTTTATTTTCTAAGTGTTCAAATATGAGTCTTAATTATAAAACCATGCTGTGTTTGTTTGATACCTACGTTAGTAGCATATTGTACTACTCTTGTGAAGTGTAGGGTTCGACCAAAGGGTTGGACATTGAAAAGGTACATTTAAAATTTTGTAAGAGGTTACTTAAAGTTAAACAGTCTACAAATATTGTAATGGTATACTGGGAACTTGGTCGTTTCCCTTTAGAATATACAAGAAGGTATAGAATAATTAAATATTGGTTTAAACTGCTCGACACGAAAAATTGTATTTTGAATACTGCATATGATTTTTTATTAAAGAAAACAACCGGTGTTTGTTTCAATTGGGTACACTATGTAAAAGCGTTGCTATGTACTCTTGGTTTCGGGGAAGTACATTTATATGGCTTAGCCAATCACCATCGAACGCTAAATCCATTTTACCTTGTATACGTCAAAGAATTTTCGACCAACCATAACAACATTTGAGAGGTCTATCAGAGAGTTCCTCGAAATGTTTTTTATATAAGCATATTGTAAACCAATTTTCCATCCAGTTTTATTTATCTAAGTACATGCCTAAGAAATATAGAATATGTTTAACAAAACTTCGTATGTCTGTACGTTCTTTGGCAATTGAAACCGGTCGTTATAGAAATATCGAACGGAATAGGAGATATTGTGCAATTTGTAAGTCGACTACTGAAGTAGAAGACGAATATCATTTTTTATTAATATGTACTTAAGGTGGCTCCACACATCGTCATCAGCGTCCATTTTCGTGACGTACTTCCGGAAAAAGTACAGCTAGGACTCAATTGTATTGATCGAAATGTGCATGTACACCGTGTCGTCATTTCCGTATTGCGTATCGGGCATTCAATATCGTAGTGCAAATTATAGTAACACCTGCTGGGCCGTTTTCGTTTAAACGGTCAAACCGATCGGACCACTGTTGTTCGTTTATTAAATAAGGTCGGACCTAGTAATCTGATGCTGCTTTCAGGCGAGTCTTGAGAAAGCCTTGCAAGGCCTGCATACACATTTGCAGGTCCGCCAGGATTTACACCCGAAATTGTTACATTTATAAACNACCGGAAAATGTATAACGTACTTCAGGAATAAAGCTTTCCAATTCATAGACATAAACAGACTCACGGGAAGACAGTGACATGAGACCAGACGACCTCAAGAAGGTCATATAGAAAACACATGGAATGCGGACGTACCGACCTCACATGTGCATATCGCGTGTTTACACGAGTTCATAAGCTCGAGGTCGTTACGATTTTCGCTGTTGAGGGAGTTTCGCTCTGTCGTTTAAATCGTGTTTACAAATGTAGTCTACTAGCTTACTCTGTGAAAATAATGTTTTGTAAAATATCAAGATACCTATGAAATGCATGTGTGAGTGCACGTGAGAACGGGATACCATGCAATAGTCTCTGGTCTGACCTGTAATCATAAATATACCGTGAGTTAGCGGACTGTGTAATGATGTCCAAAGTGTACATGACATGAGGGTTATTTGGTTCCATTAAAGAACAATAAATTGATAATTTTGATATCATATTTTTGATTTTTTTCCACCATTTTTGTTATATGTAAACAGAGGCAACTGTCATTGTGTAAATGTCACCCCACTGCAAAAAGTTCCGATTTTTTTCAAGGAAGATAACTCTCACCCGGATCAAAGTGATTGTAAAATGTAAAATAAATTAATTATAAAGCCATTGTGTATATTTTGTTCAATTTCTCATTCTATATGTATAGATCTTTGTGTCCTGGGTGCTGTTAGCTTGTAGATAATCACTTTTATCCGTACAAATTCAATAAAAAACACTTTGTGTAACATGTGTTACATATTTTGCGATAAATAAAATATTTGTAGGGTTAATAAGAAATGCTTCTTTTCATTTTATTATTGTTGTTATTGTTCCGAACAATGCCACACACACACAAAAAACGGAAAATATTAAAATTGACGAAAATTCAATTTTTTTGTATTTTTTCCAAAAAAGTCCCTAAACTATCGGAATGTTTAGATTTTCATAAATCAACTCGACATAGTTGCATAACCATTATATGAAAGTTTCAACGAATTTTGCAAGTTAATTGCGAAAGTGTGGAGCCACCTTAAGAAGTCAATATATCAAAAAATTCTATCGGCAAAAACCTTCAATGTTTAAACTAATACAGTTATTGTGTGTCAATAACAACAAGGAATTAAGCCGTATCGGCAAATTTATTTTTGAAGCAAATAAGATAAGAGCTGTATTTCTTTAACTCGTACCCCACTTATGTCTTGCTGTTTCACATTATTATGTATTGTATGTAATATGTACGCATGGGCCGTAAGGCCTACAGTCAATACATTGAATTGAATTGACCCTACAAATAAAAAAAGGTATAAACTGATGAAAGGGCCAGACTTGATATGATAAAGAAAATTACCTTGTGAACTGTAGTTATAGCTACAGTGCACATTGATGTGAATACAGTTCACTTCAGTGTTAACTCCAGTGCACAAGGATGTGAACTCCAGTTCACTTCAGTGTTAGCTCCAGTGCACAAGCTAGTGAACTGGAGTTCACTTTTCTTGTTAACTCCAGTGCACTAGGCTACCAAGTTAAGTTTGCTCCCTTAACTGTATACAGGATTTACCACGGATAAATACATGCATACTATAAAACGGTAACAGATACGTTTTGATAATTTACCGAAGTGTGGACACGTCATAATTTTTTTAAGTAATTATTTAATTTAAACTAATTATTTTGAAATTATATATTTTTTGCTGTCAAGATGTAACCACGAAATGGAGATAGCTGTTCGTATCAATATTATATAAATATGTTTATATCAGTCCATGTTGAAGATGTATCGATGAACGTGTGTCAAGGCCTGTTTACCTGTACAGCGATGAGACTCAAAACATTTACAGAAAACTTAAATTACGCGCCATTTTCAACTCAAAAATAATGTACACAACGAATTTTTATATAATATTTTATTTTCACACCAATTTTTTAAAATTCTATACATTTCATTTCAATTTGTACATAAATACGCTTTTATTTGACATTGAAGATGTCAAAATATTCGTTTTGTTAAAAATTTGGAATGCTCTGAAGGGGTTTCATGTGGTATATTTTCCACTTAAAAAAGGACACACTTTTTACTTTATGTATTCATATATACATATATTTATAAAGAGAAAATGATAAACTTAATTATCAGAGACATACATTTTTTGCTTTAGTAAACGAGATATTAGCATTTTTTTATTGAAATGCCGCTCCATAATCTATAGCAGGGATGTGTAGTGGACCACTACACATCCCTGTCTATAGCAAACATTTTACAGCCTGCTGTAATCTATAGCAGTGGACCACTACACACCCCTGTCTATAGCAAACATTTTACAGCCTGCTGTAATCTATAGCACGGACTCTAATTCCGTGTCTATAGCAAATTATTCAAATGTGACCCCATCTTTCTGTATAAACATTGATATCATTTTCTTATTTATAGCTACTGATAAAAAAAACGCTAGGCTAGCAATCACAGTTCCCAGAGAGATACCGTCTTATTTCCGAGTCGTCCTTCACCGGATTCGTTTCAATGTTTATTTAGTGATGCCCGAGCAGTGCGCTGAAGTGCTTGTAATGCAAATGTGTTTATACTAAGCTTGCAATCTACATTGAATTTTTCATCTGACATTGTGAACAGCATGGTTACAGATGGCTTTCGTGCTAAAATACGCAAAAACTGTCAGAAATAACTGGAAAAAGTCAGTCGTCTGTGTCGCTGCTGCTGCATATGGTGTAAAATACGCAAAAGAGAAATACGAGTAAGAGAAACGATTCACTGTGACATTATTAATTTAATTGCGTATCGTCGTACATAGGGTGTACTCCAACAGTGTTAAATGTTTACACGGCGAGATACTTTTGACAGGCGCCATGTAACCTCTAACTGCCCATAGCTGATTTCCCGATGCTGACGATCAAATGTTCGAAGTTCGGATTAAGAAAAATTATATCGTGTTTACATACATTTAAATGTTCAACAGGTTTCAATAAATATTCACACGTCATTCACTCGGTTCGCATAGGTTTGTTTATAATGTGATATCACAACGATTTACGCCTACGGTTGTAAATCCCTAACTTTACACGTCCAGTGATATGTATGTACCAACTTTAAATAATGATGACTTGGTTATCAAGACCCGCTTCGATCATCAGTGTTGCGAAAAGCAGTCATAGACTACTTGAAAACTGTCGCATACAAAGCACCACTCTGGGCAAGTGGAGTGAGTCTTGATGAATCTCCATCAAGTCAATGAAAGAGTAAATTGGTATTCACTCAATTTGAACAGCAGAAATGAATGACTATTATTTATCTGTTGTGGAACTGTAGGTCAATCGTCGGAGACCTGGTGGCTCAATTGGTAGAGTGTGTGTCTAGAGTAAGGCGAGTCTCGGGTTCAAATCCCGGTTTGGCCTTGCATTTTTCCTCTCCTGTTACGGCGATGCCTGTGACTAACCCTTGTTTCAAGCATTTAGTATACGCTTGGGAAGGGGATACCCGAACCAGGGTTGTAAATAGTTGTGTCTTCAGGGGCGAGGACTTAGAAAAAGGGGGAAAAGGATGGAGGAATGTAGAGGAACTGGACTGGGACGCTCGTGGGCAAATAGGCAGCTCAAATGGTAGAGCATCTGGCCGTGCGTCTCTCCTCTCCTGTTACATATCCTTACTGGTGAAGCAGACCTTGGTAACAGTGGCCGAATAATGTAACAGAAAAGAGAGTAGTGTGCTAATTCCACTGGGGATCAAACCCGAAGGGGGGTATATATTGGGCTTAATCAGTTCTCTGAGCTTAAATAGACCATTCTGATAGAATTTCAGGTTCCTGTGGTCAGACGCTCTACAACTAAGCTGCAGAGAAATTTCCTCTAGCAGAAAGCTAGAATGTGACCTTAATCCTATGTTTAATTAAAATCTGCCCCATTATTCCCCCTTTTTAAATGTGTTTACCCCTGAACACCAGAACAATCAAGGTTTATCTTCCTCTCATGACAGGGAGGGCCACAGACACCATTTGTAACAGGAAAGAGAGTAGTGTGGTTCCAACAGGGATCAAATCTGCAATCCCAGACTTCCCTAGTTGGGAGCTCTACCACTTAGCTAAATGGAGAATCCCTCTAGCTAGATAGTGACCCGTAATAATATGTACAATTAAAATCTGCCACACAATAAAGATGGGTTTTACAATACATTTTTTGGTACAATTGTTTAATTAAATATTATGAAATTGTTTCAAAATCTTTTTCATCCAAACCTGTGAATTTACAGGTAGAGTTTGTCTTTCCTTTTTTCTGACTTTAAATGATTATAATTAGAAAAAAACCTGTGATCAGTTGGTAACTGGTAAATTACAGCGGTATTTCCAATTTCAGTCAAGAGTGGATACGAAGAGAGTTCTGTGCAGAGGCCTTGGTAAGTAAGAATGTAATTTAACACTTAAGTTACAAAATTCTGATCCTTTTTAACTGAAATTCATTACTGATTGCTATTTTGTGTTCTTTACAAGAATTGACAGATTTTGTTGAAGATCGACTTTCATTTTTAGGTTATAGGGTTAGGTAAAATGATAATTAGTAGCCACAATGACATCCTATGTTATTTGACATGATATATGATGACTTATTGGTACCTTGTAATTTGATCTATTTTAAGAATATAGAAATTCTGACCTATGTGAACTTCATAACAATAAAAAAGGCATCTTCCATACTGGAGAGGTTATGCTCACTGATGCTCTCTGCACCCCTGGAGTATAGAGGAGTTGATGATGGGGCTTTAATGACAATTCATATTTTATCATTCACAATGTGTGAAGTATACAGCAATTGAAAGTGGATTAAAAATATTGCTGCTGGACTGCTTTTTTAATATTACAAAAATAGACATAATTTTTTAATATACTAAGAAACACTTTTTGCTTGCCATTAATATTCAAACTTAAATCTACAGAAATATGGGAATGCAAAGATTGGCCTCCAAGAAAGACCAAGGAAAATCACTGTATTCCTGAACCCTGCAGCATCAGGCGGGTATGTACACATAATGCTACTGTCATATGAAATAGCAATACATTGTAATTTACAATAAAGTTTGACCTAATTTCCAATGGTTGCCAGAGAAAGTATTTGTATTTTAGTGTTGAAATGTTCATGCTTTCTAACTACAATTACTGTCTTTTACTGTTTTTCTGATTATAGTAAGAGACTTATAATCAGCAGGTATGATTTTAGATATGAACAACAAGAAGTTGTTTTGGAAATTGCCAAATTGGCACAGTTTTGCCTTTGGCAGGAAGCTAGACTTCATGCATGGATGCCACCCAATAAGAGATCTGTGAGGCTAACACATTTTCAGAACATGAAAATGTAGTGAAAGTGTTCTGTAGGGAAGTTCTATTTTTTTTTAATACACATTTCTTATAAAGCCAATTAGAATTGTCAGGCGGCAGGTTAGAGGTTTTTCTTTGGGTACTCTGGCTTTCCTCCCACACAAAACCTGGCACGTCCTTAAAGGACCACAGCTGTGTATAGAGTGTAAAACACAAACAAACCAAACAAACAGACATATTCCTTTTGGGAGGGACTGTAGGATAATCTAAAACTGTCAAACAAATACTTTTCATTGACAACGTTTTGATACCTTTTGACCCTAACCCTTGGTAGTGAGAATGTGAGATGCCAAATTTGAAGCTGATGTTTGTATTGATTCTATCAAATTTTAGCCTTAAGTTAGTATGATGCTGGGAATTCAGCTAATTCCCAAAGTTAGAATTGAAGGTAAAAAGTCTCGAGTCTCAAAATCATGATACATCTACAGGGTGAATGAAGGGGGACTTACAGTTACTTACGGTGACTTTTGTTTGTTGACAGAGGTGTAACTTCTTTATATTATTTCTTAATAAGGTTGTGCAACTGTAAATTATTGCATGAACTAATAGGATCTTTCCCTATGTTCAGGATAGGACAAGGAATTTTTCTCCTCAGGGAAGAGATTCTTGACCCTGTCTAACATGAATCTACTTCATTTGAGAGTAAGATTCAAGAATCTCCTCTGAGGGTGGAGATTTCTCATTCATACCCTGAAGGTAGCGAATGATCCATTTTTTCACCGATATTCCTTAAAATCAAATTAATATAAACATTGACACATGTGTGCTATATAAAGAAATGACAATTTTTATCCTTATATACATATTATTAAAATGACTATTAGAATATTAATATACAGAATTAATTTAATTGCTTTATCAGTTCCACTTCCACTTCACTTGGCTTGTAATCTATAGTTTGGTACACACTTGTGTGAATATCTTGTTTAGCACACCGTTATCCACCAGGGTAAGAAAGAAAAATCTTTTCCTGACCAAAGGTGTTGCTATCACCGTCAAAAATGGTGGAGAAAGAGTTATTTCCCTTGTTATGTTGACAGGGGTGCTGTGAAAGTGTTTGAGAAGAATGCAGCCCCTATACTGCACTGTGCAGGATTGGAAGTCAATATTGTCAAGGTGAAGAAAGTTCATCCTTTTAACTTTCACAAAATGATTAACTGTACTGTCAAAATCATCCTGAAAGATCCCAGTTTTAAAAAGAAACCAATATTGTACATAACATTCAATTGTTTTAATTTTCAGTAGTCAATATGTCACCATACCCTCTGCATCCTGTAAATACATATATACACATTATATTTTTAACCTGGTAGTAAGTTTCCTTCAATTCATTTATTGTGAGGCTCCTTATCTCTTTCTTCCAAAATTGTATGTTGTTACATTATTATGTAATATAGAGTGTATCCTTGAGCTTTATAAAAACTCAGTATTTTATTTTTGATGACAGGTTGAGTATGAAGGGCAGGTGAAAAAGTTCCTGTCAATCTTGGAAAGGTCTGATACTGATGGTATAGTGGTCGCTGGTGGTGATGGTACACTGCTTGAGGTAAATCCAAATGGAAGAAACTAGCTAATGTTTGACAATATGTGCCCAACTTATCTATAGGTTTTTTTCAATCTTGTTTTTTATCTGAAAGTTTGTATAAAGATGCTTTGGACTGTGTTTTGTAAAATCATCAGCATGCATATGTGAAAATTGCTAAAAGCAATAGGGGATATAACGATTTCCAAGTTATGGCTCTGAAATCATGTCCCTAGTTGTGAGGCCAGATCCAAGAGTCAATACTTATATTATGATTGTGTTTGTCTCTCGATCCCCAGAAATGCTATATATGGTTATGGAGTGTGGATCTCATTCGTCAAAAGTTAGAACACAAGAATTAAGTCCCTAGGGATGGGGCCAGACCTCTGAGTTGATTCACATATATGACTGTATTTATCTCTTAATGCCTGTCAAACATATATATTGGTTATGCGGTGGGAATTTCAACCATTTCAAAATTATGGCTCAAGATCAGGAATGAAGTTCCAAGGGGTTGGGCCAGACACAAGAGTCAATTTAATATCATGACTGTATTTATCCCTTTATGCCTATCAAATGAATAATATCAGGGTTTACGTCAGCGGTCACCAATAGTATATACATATGACATTCATTAGCAGGTGACAGTGAATATTTTCAACCCGAGAAAATCGTTGTCACCCGAGGCGAAGCCGAGGGTGACAATGGGTTTTTGAGGGTTGTTACACCAAAAGTCTTTGTAGCTCAGAAATGCTACTAGTCCTGACCGGCCAAGTAGATTTTGACTAAATTTGGTCTAGAGTATCCTTAGGCCAAGGCGACTCAATTTTGTAAAACCGGTGGGTGTGGCCCCCCGGGGGGCAGAGGGGCGGGCCCAATAGGGGAAATAGAGGTAAAACCTTGAAAATCCTTCTTCTACCATAGGGATTAAAGGATTTTATCCTGATTTAGTCTGGAGCATCCTTGGGCCAAGGGGACTCAATTTGTATAAATGGTGGGTGTGGCCCCCCTGGGGGCTGGGGGGCAGGGCCCAATAGGGGAAATATAGCAAATTCTTTAAAATCCTTCTTCTTCTGTAGGAATGCAAGGTTTTGTTCCATATTTGGTCTGAAGCATTTTTGGGTGAAGGGGAACCAATTTCGTATAAACCATGGGTCTAGCCGGCCAGGGGCCTGAGAGGTGGGGCCCAATAGGAGAAACATAGCAAATTATTCTTTAAAATCCTTCTCCTTCTGTCGGAATGAAAGGATTTGTTCCATATTTGGTGTGGAGCATCCTTGGGTGAAGGGGAACCAATTTTGTATAAACGGTGGATCTGGCCCCCTTTGGGGCTGAGGGGCGGGGCCCAATAGGGGAAATATAGCAAATTCTTTAATATCCTTCTTCTGTAGGAATGAAAGAATTTTGTCCATATTTTGGGTGGAGCATCCTTGGGTAAAGGGGAACCAATTTTGTATAAACGGTGGGTGTGGCCCCCCTGGGACCTGAGGGGCGGGGCCCAATAGGGGAAAAAGAAGTAAAACCTTTATAATCCTTCTTGTACCATATCGATTGAGGGATTTTATCCTAATTTAGTCTGGAGCATCCTTGGGCCAAGGGGACTCAATTTTGTATATGCAATGGGTGTGGTCTCCCAGGGGGCAGAAGGGCGGGGGCCAATAGGAGAAATAGAGGTAAAACCTTTTAAATCCTTTTACGACCATCAAGATTAAGGGATTTTTTCCATATTTAGTCTGGAGCATCCTTGGACCAAGGGGTCTCAATTTTGTATAATTCGTGGGTATGACCCCCCTAGGGGCCCAATAGGGGTGGGGCTCTGTTTGAAGTTTGTTCTCGCTATATCTGGAGTACTGGATGGATCTTTCTGAAATTTCATATGTACTTACAGCACCTACCATGGAGTGCTATATCTTTACTTCATGCCAATTATTTAAAACATATTCAGGTGAGCGATACAGGCCCTCTGGGCCTCTTGTTTTCAAATCCTATAAAAATACGCCCTGTGTCAATACATAGCTGTGATACAGGTAACAAATTTACCATCTAGCTAGCTGCCTTATACAGATGAATTTACTGCCAAATTAACTAATATTGATAAATCACTAATCCCTTCTGAACGACATGCATTTTGGCACACAGCTAAACAGGACATATGGAACAGACGGTAGCATTATGTGTACAACTAAACAGGACATATGGAACAGACAGTAGCATTGTACAGCTAAACAGGACATATGAAACAGACAGTAGCATTGTGTGTACAGCTAAACAGGACATATGGAACAGACAGTAGCATTGTGTGTACAGCTAAACAGGACATATGGAACAGACAGTAGCATTGTGTGTATAGCTAAACAGGACAATATGGAACAGACAGTAGCATTATACAGCTAAACAGGACATATGGACCAGACAGTAGCATTGTACAGCTAAACAGGACATATGGAACAGACAGAAGCATTGTGTGTACAGCTAAACAGGACATATGGAACAGACAGTAGCATTGTGTGTACAGCTAAACAGGACATATGGAACAGACAGTAGCATTGTGTGTACAGCTAAACAGGACATATGGAACAGACAGTAGCATTGTGTGTACAGCTAAACAGGACATATGGAACAGACAGTAGCATTGTGTGTACAGCTAAACAGGACATATGGAACAGACAGTAGCATTGTGTGTACAGCTAAACAGGACATATGGAACAGACAGTAGCATTGTGTGTACAGCTAAACAGGACATATGGAACAGACAGTAGCATTGTGTGTACAGCTAAACAGGACATATGGAACAGACAGTAGCATTGTGTGTACAGCTAAACAGGACATATGGAACAGACAGTAGCATTGTGTGTACAGCTAAACAGGACATATGGAACAGACAGTAGCATTGTGTGTACAGCTAAACAGGACATATGGAACAGACAGTAGCATTGTGTGTACAGCTAAACAGGACATATGGAACAGACAGTAGCATTGTGTGTACAGCTAAACAGGACATATGGAACAGACAGTAGCATTGTGTGTACAGCTAAACAGGACATATGGAACAGACAGTAGCATTGTGTGTACAGCTAAACAGGACATATGGAACAGACAGTAGCATTGTGTGTACAGCTAAACAGGACATATGGAACAGACAGTAGCATTGTGTGTACAGCTAAACAGGACATATGGAACAGACAGTAGCATTGTGTGTACAGCTAAACAGGACATATGGAACAGACAGTAGCATTGTGTGTACAGCTAAACAGGACATATGGAACAGACAGTAGCATTGTGTGTACAGCTAAACAGGACATATGGAACAGACAGTAGCATTGTGTGTACAGCTAAACAGGACATATGGAACAGACAGTAGCATTGTGTGTACAGCTAAACAGGACATATGGAACAGACAGTAGCATTGTGTGTACAGCTAAACAGGACATATGGAACAGACAGTAGCATTGTGTGTACAGCTAAACAGGACATATGGAACAGACAGTAGCATTGTGTGTACAGCTAAACAGGACATATGGAACAGACAGTAGCATTGTGTGTACAGCTAAACAGGACATATGGAACAGACAGTAGCATTGTGTGTACAGCTAAACAGGACATATGGAACAGACAGTAGCATTGTGTGTACAGCTAAACAGGACATATGGAACAGACAGTAGCATTGTGTGTACAGCTAAACAGGACATATGGAACAGACAGTAGCATTGTGTGTACAGCTAAACAGGACATATGGAACAGACAGTAGCATTGTGTGTACAGCTAAACAGGACATATGGAACAGACAGTAGCATTGTGTGTACAGCTAAACAGGACATATGGAACAGACAGTAGCATTGTGTGTACAGCTAAACAGGACATATGGAACAGACAGTAGCATTGTGTGTACAGCTAAACAGGACATATGGAACAGACAGTAGCATTGTGTGTACAGCTAAACAGGACATATGGAACAGACAGTAGCATTGTGTGTACAGCTAAACAGGACATATGGAACAGACAGTAGCATTGTGTGTACAGCTAAACAGGACATATGGAACAGACAGTAGCATTGTGTGTACAGCTAAACAGGACATATGGAACAGACAGTAGCATTGTGTGTACAGCTAAACAGGACATATGGAACAGACAGTAGCATTGTGTGTACAGCTAAACAGGACATATGGAACAGACAGTAGCATTGTGTGTACAGCTAAACAGGACATATGGAACAGACAGTAGCATTGTGTGTACAGCTAAACAGGACATATGGAACAGACAGTAGCATTGTGTGTACAGCTAAACAGGACATATGGAACAGACAGTAGCATTGTGTGTACAGCTAAACAGGACATATGGAACAGACAGTAGCATTGTGTGTACAGCTAAACAGGACATATGGAACAGACAGTAGCATTGTGTGTACAGCTAAACAGGACATATGGAACAGACAGTAGCATTGTGTGTACAGCTAAACAGGACATATGGAACAGACAGTAGCATTGTGTGTACAGCTAAACAGGACATATGGAACAGACAGTAGCATTGTGTGTACAGCTAAACAGGACATATGGAACAGACAGTAGCATTGTGTGTACAGCTAAACAGGACATATGGAACAGACAGTAGCATTGTGTGTACAGCTAAACAGGACATATGGAACAGACAGTAGCATTGTGTGTACAGCTAAACAGGACATATGGAACAGACAGTAGCATTGTGTGTACAGCTAAACAGGACATATGGAACAGACAGTAGCATTGTGTGTACAGCTAAACAGGACATATGGAACAGACAGTAGCATTGTGTGTACAGCTAAACAGGACATATGGAACAGACAGTAGCATTGTGTGTACAGCTAAACAGGACATATGGAACAGACAGTAGCATTGTGTGTACAGCTAAACAGGACATATGGAACAGACAGTAGCATTGTGTGTACAGCTAAACAGGACATATGGAACAGACAGTAGCATTGTGTGTACAGCTAAACAGGACATATGGAACAGACAGTAGCATTGTGTGTACAGCTAAACAGGACATATGGAACAGACAGTAGCATTGTGTGTACAGCTAAACAGGACATATGGAACAGACAGTAGCATTGTGTGTACAGCTAAACAGGACATATGGAACAGACAGTAGCATTGTGTGTACAGCTAAACAGGACATATGGAACAGACAGTAGCATTGTGTGTACAGCTAAACAGGACATATGGAACAGACAGTAGCATTGTGTGTACAGCTAAACAGGACATATGGAACAGACAGTAGCATTGTGTGTACAGCTAAACAGGACATATGGAACAGACAGTAGCATTGTGTGTACAGCTAAACAGGACAATATGGAACAGATAGTAGCATTGTGTGTACTGCTAAACAGGACATATGGAACCGACAGTAGCATTATACAGCTAAACAGGACATATGGAACAGACAGAAGCATTGTACAGCTAAACAGGCCAACATGGAACAGACAGTAGCATTGGACAGCTAAACAGGACAATACGGAACAGATAGTAGCATTGTGTGTAGTGCTAAACAGGACATATGGAACAGACAGTAGCATTGTGTGTACAGCTAAACAGGACATATGCAACAGACAGTAGCATTGTACAGCTAAACAGGACATATGGACCAGATAGTAGCATTGTACAGCTAAACAGGACATATGGAACAGACAGTAGCATTATGTGTAAAGCTAACATATGTTTTACTGCGCTGTTTGATTTACGAAGTTAATTAATCTGCTGTGTGTGTTTGGGAGTGGGAGGTTATTTTACTGCTCTGATTGATTTATGTAATTATAAAATCTGCCTTTTTTGTTTTTAGACCATTACTGGAATCATGAGGAAAGAAGATAAGGTAAGGTCTTGCTTAGTTATTATAGCACTTAAATTAGACAACATTATCGAGAACCTTTATCATGCAGCATTTCACAGTGTGTATTGAAATATATATTTATTAGGATTATTCTATAGAAAACAATTTCGGGCAAATTTACCAATGAACAGTTTTAAATCCTATCCCAACACAACACTTGATTCAAATTGCCAAACAAGTAAAGCTCTGATATAAAAGATTGAAATGCAAAAATGAAAATTTGGTATACATCTAATTGATTTTCGGCTTCTGTAGCATTTTAACAAGAGTTAAGTGTTAATACCACGGAATGAGATTATATAAGTCAATAGTGTTACTATATGATGTACGTATACATGTTATAGAAATGATATGATTGCAATAATCTGGTTTCTGTTATACTATAATGTACTGCTGGGTATTGTGAAACTGTAATACACCACTAGAAATTTAACAATGATCAGTTTTATGTCCTTTCCCCTCTTAACACTTAGAAATTGCAATGTATAAATGGAAATATGTCAGGCATCCTGGTTTTGAAATGCAAGGATTGTATATTATTGCAATAATCATATATGGTTTCCGTTATAATATACTGCTGACTTTTGTGAAACTAAATTTTCAGCATATAACTACTTTGTTACCTTCAGAACTGTATAAAGCTAAAGGGACCATGTAAAATACAGGACATGATCAGGGTTTTAAGTGTTTGCTGCAGTACATGATACAATTTTGTTAACTTTTTTCCCAGACATTCCGACAAAATATACCAGTAGGAGTTATCCCCCTTGGTCACAAAAACCGGTTTGCAAAGCTGCTTTTTGGCAGTGACAACGATCAAGTTCTGTAAGTATATTAATATACATAAAACTGTCAAAGGTCACACTGGTACCATATTTGAAGTAAAAGCTTGTGTAGGTGATATCTTGTGAACCCCTTAACAAATTTAATTTAACTTAGACCATTTATGGTCAATCTGAATAAAATCATCTTTTGGCTTCACTAACTTTATGCTACAAGTTCAGGCGTAACAAATGTAATGTACATGTAACAGATGATTTTAATCCAATTGCCATATGGTAGCATCAAGTTTTACACTTGATTTTATTTTGATGGTCATTGGTCAAATTTAATCGGTCAAAGGTCACAATTAACAATTAAGACTTTGGGAAAAGTGGAGATATATCTATGTGAGCCCTCACTTAATTTGTTTTTATGCCCCCGCCATAAAATGGGGGGGGGGGGGGGGCATATAGTCTTGCTCATGTCTGTCCCGTCCGGTCCCAATTCAATGTAAACACCTGTTGCGTCCCATCCCGTCCCGATTCAATGTAAACACCTGTTGCGTCCCGTCCCATCCCGTCCCATTTCAATGTAAACACCTGTTGCGTCCCGTCGCGTCCCGTCCCGATTCAATGTAAACACCTGTTGCGACCCGTTGCGTCCCGTCCCGATTCAATGTAAAACACTTAGCAACTTCATTCTTTGACAGATTTTGATCAAACTTTATACAAAGGTACAACCTTCCATAAAATGGGGGGCTATTTAACATTGCCCATGTCCGTCCCGTCCCGATTCAATGTAAACACTTAGTAACTTCATTCTTTGACAGATTTTGGTCAAACTTTATTCAAAGGTCAAGTATGAGTATATTTTGGACATTGTTGTGTTTCATGGTTCCAAGGTCAAGGCCAAGGTCACTGTTGCTATATATAGAAAATCATCAACTGATTCAATTTAAACACTTAGCAATTTCATTCTTTCACAGATTTTGGTCAAACTTTATATAAAGGTCAAATATGAGTATACCTCTGAAATCCTTGTGTTTCTAGGATGGTAATAACATACAGAAAAAACATATGAATATTAAAATCAACTTATCAACTTTAAGTGTAGTACCTTGTGTGTGTGCTTGTTTCAGGGTATCAAGATAAAAGTGGTTGTAAGTTTTTATAGAACACTGAAACAAATTTCACATGGCAGCGGGGGCATTTATGTCTTACAGACATTTTCTAGTTATTTTATGCAAATGAATCTGATTTTTGAATGCTGTTCAAACTTAACCAGCAGCAGATATTGATATAAGTAGAGCACATGTTGGCATGGATGACAAGGATAAATGGTCATTTCTTCTCATACAAACAAATGATCTTATTAAGCTTATTTTCTCTTATAAAGGTCGATTCCACTGGTTTTGTGTAAACAATCATTCTAAAAATGCTACCTGCTATTGCCAGCTGTACTTTCAGTTTACGGAAAGTGAAAAGTCTTATTTCATTTTCCATTAGCAGGAGTGTTTTATAATTTCCCATTAAAGTAACAGCTCGTGGGCAGATTGTGTTTAAGTTCTACTATAGCCCATATACTTTTTCATAGTAAGTAATGAAAATATTCACTAATTTTGACATAAAAACCAGCTGCAGGTGTTACCTGGCTAGTGGAGTAACACCACTAATTACGATAGAACATTTAATTTAATACCTACATTTCCTTTGTCATTTCATTTGTGCTTGTGAACTGCATACCAGTGTAAATCTTCACAAATATATACAAATGTAAAATGAATTAGACAATAGGATGACACCATCTTAAAGACACAGTGTCAATATATATTTCACCATTGTTTGAATCGGACGTTACTCTGAACACTCATCAGAGTGATTACACTGGTGAGAGTGATGTTGATCATTTACCTTTCCACAGATTGATGTGCCAGTGTGCTATGTCTGTGGTGCGGGGGCTCGGCAGAAGTGTGGACGTCATCAGCCTCAAGGTCAGCAAAGGTTATTATAAGGTCATTCATGCACAAATGTATGTCAGCGTATAGTTGAGGTGACCAATGGACACTGATTTGAACTTCTAAAATTTGACAGGCTGTATTATGGCATGGGTTGAGTCTGTGTGTCCATGTATTATGGCATGGGTCCTGTCTATCTGTCCGTGTATTATGGCATGGGTCGTGTCTATCTGTCCGTGTATTATGGCATGAGTCGTGTCTATCTGTCCATGTATTATGGCATGGGTCGTGTCTATCTGTCCATGTATTATGGCATGGGTCGTGACTATCTTTCCGTGTATTATGGCATCGGTCGTGTCTATCTGTCCGTGTATTATGGCATGGGTCGTGTACATGTCTATCTGTCCGTGTATTATGGCATTTGGGTCGTGTCTATCTGTCCATGTATTATGGCATGGGTCGTGTCTATCTGTCCGTGTATTATGGCATGGGTCGTGTCTATCTGTCCATGTATTACAGCATTGGTTATGTCCGTCCGTCCGTCCATGTATTATGGCATGGGTCGTGTCTATTTGTCCATGTATTATGGCATGGGTCGTGTCTATCTGTCCATGTATTACAGCATTGGTTATGTCTGTCTGTCCATGTATTATGGCATGGGTCGTGTCTGTCCGTCCGTGTATTATGGCAAGGGTCGTGTCTATCTGTTCGTGTATTACAGCATTGGTTATGTCTATCTGTCCATGTATTATGGCATGGGTCGTGTCTGTCCGTCCGTGTATTATGGCATTGGTCGTGTCTATCTGTCCATGTATTATGGCATTAGTTGCGTCTGTCTGTCCGTGTATTACAACATTGGTTATGTCTAATCCGTGTATTTTGGCATGGGGCGTGTCTGTCCGTCCGTGTATTATGGTATGGGGCGTATTTGTCTGTCCGTGTGTTATAGCATGGGGTGTGGTTGTGTGTCCATGTATTATGGCATTGGTTATGTGTCTGTCCATGTATTATGGCATGGTGCGTGTTTGTTTGTCTGTGTATTATGGCATGGTGCATGTTTGTTTGTCCATTTTTTATGGCATGGTGCGTGTTTGTTTGTCCATGTATTATGGCATGGTGCGTGTTTGCTGTCCGTGTGTAATGGTATGAGGCGTGTCAGTCTGTCTGTCTGTCTGTCTATCCATTCCTTGGTTTTTTTGCCAGATAATTTGCTTCAAGTTTGATTAGAAACAAACTATTTTTGATTTGTGATCCACAGGACTAGTCTGAAATATTAGTTGTTAGTCAAGTGTCAAGGGAACTGTAATGTAGTCCACAATTTCCGTAAGAAATCACCCCCTGCATGAAACATCAAAAGTAATTGACTGTAGAAGACATAACTTGATTTCTAGTGCGAAATTGTGACAATTTTCCAGCTATAAATCTGTATTTCTAGCAGGTTTCGGAATAGAGTGTTTTTTATAATCTATATATCAAATGATCTTGTGATAACATAATTATATTCTTTCAAGTGCAACGAACAAGTTAGTTTGGTATTTCTCTATTCCTTGCTGAAATCTACACTAGTCTTTGAATACAGGACTACTGTTTGTGTCTATAGCCCTGTTAAGTATTATTTACTGAAATCTGGTAAGTATATACAAGAAGAGCATATAAAGACTAAGGTAAAGTTCAAACTTGAGCAAAATCTACTCGTTATTGATATAACATATTGTGCTTTGATAGGCTATATTTTTCTCACAATAACTTAAACAATCAACAGATTCAAACAAAACTTTTTCATCATATATATTATACAAAGTCGAAGGCTCAGTTTGAATTTGAACAAAATCTGTTCTTAATAAATAGTGGAGATCACAGAAATTTCTTTTGTGTGAGCCTTGTTAAATCCTAACCCTTACAAGAGATTACATAGTGGTAATAGTGATGCTGTATACAAACTACAATTAACGAAGAAATATCTAAACAAAAGTAAAGTATTCAACTATATATCTATATAATTTCACTTAGGGTAAAAAGATAAAATTTTGAATAAACTGAGGGTACGCCCCCACTCCCAAGTGGGCAGAAGGGGGGGG